ACGTTTTTTACAAGGCAACGAACCAATCTGCAATCTATGTCTTAGTGAGGTTAACCAGTCCAGACAGACCCTGGCCTCAGAAGGATCAGGCTACAGCTGTGTTAGATGGTGGCAACAAAGGAAAGCAAGTTAAAAATCAAACGATTCTCCTAAACTATGGCACAAATGAAACTACCTATGAAACGGAAATCGACTCACAGACATGGAGAAAAGACTTGTGGTTGCCAAGGCAGAGGGCGGGGAAGAGGGTGGGAGAGGGAAGGATTGGAAGTTTGGGATTAGCAGATGCAAACTAGTATGTACAGAATGGATGGACAACAAGGTCCTACTGCAGTAAGATCTTTACGTCTTTCAGTTAGCCAATTCCTTACCACAAATCCACTGAGAATGTATTAGAGGATGTATTAAGGTCTTATTTTGAGTTCTCCATCTGTCAAATCTTGTTTCTGGTATAGGGCAATGATAAATAAAAAAATACATATATAATATATAAATGATCATTATGATGTGTATATAATATATATTAAGAGAGAGAATTCCAGGATAATTTTCTGTGTCAAAAACCAGGATATGGGCTTCCCTGGTGGCGCAGTGGTTGAGAGTCCGCCTGCCGATGCAGGGGACATGGGTTCATGCCCTGGTCCGGGAAGATCCCACATGCCGCGGAGCGGCTGGGCCCCGTGAGCCATGGCCGCTGAGCCTGCGCATCCGGAGCCTGTGCTCCGCAGCTGGAGAGGCCACAATAGTGAGAGGTCCGTGTACCACAAAACAAAACAAAAAAAAAACAGGATAGATCGATGTGTTCAGTCAATACCAAACCACAGAGATGGGGTCTTTTTACAGTCCAGTCAGAGAGGTGTAAATAAGATCATGATAAAAACTAAACATTAACTAAATTCTGAATGTAAGCCATCTACCAGAAGTCACATCTTAAAAAATACAAAATGATGAACTTAGAGCAGGGTTCTCAAGGCGGTGGTCTCAGAACCAGCATCATCTGGGAACTTGTTAGAAATACACATTATCAACTCCCCTGGCCAACCCCCCAAAACCTACTAATCAGGGAGCCGCCCTGGGTGGGCTCCAAAACTCTGTTTTAAAAAGTCCTGAGGGTGACTCCGATGCATGCTAAAGTTTGAGAACCACCGGCTCAGAACTCAAGGCCGCTTGCCTGGACTTTATATTGTAAGGTTAGAGGGAGCTGAAGGAAGCAGGAGGAGCTTGTGATCTGTGAGGCGCAATTTAAAGAGGAACAAAGAGAGCTCTGCCTGCCCCCCCAACTGGCCCAAGAAATGGCTCGATTTCTTAAAATTAGAGCAACTTCTTTCAGTTAAGACACTGTCACTAAAAAGCCACCATGCCCATTAATACGCCAACACTTACATATCTTATTCCTCAGCTGTCACTTGACAGAGCCTGGATATGAAGGAAAGCACGATGGGACACACCATACGTCAGGTCAGGTTCAAAGTGCAGCAAGGGGAGAAGTCCCAAGCCCTCACCCAAAGGGATGAAAGACAGCCCAGGTGGAGCCCTACAGTGAGGGGACTCTGGAGAGGCAATGATGCTTTCAGCACAGAGACAGGGATGCTCTAAGAAACACTCTGTCATCATCACCGTCTTGAGCAGCATGTAACCATCAATTAGTTGAGGAGATGGGTCTCCCCTGGCTTCTCAGGACAGAGCGGTATCTACACTGGGAAGGTAGTTGTTTGCCACTGATTAGTAGTCTACACTCATTTTATACATATATGTGACTCACATCCAAACTAAATGTGGAATAATACCAATTTGGGACTCTTTTCCATACCCCGTCCTTAGAGCGCCAGCAGTTTCCAAAGATGAAATCTACAAATTCAGACCCTGACAATTGCAAGCACCAGTGGGCAGAACTTAAGATAGCCTTAATATGTCTTTACTGCGTTCTTACATGCTTCGCTTACAGAGCATGTAAGTAAGATATTTTACTAACACGTACGTCAAAAGTTTGGTATGAAGTTTCAAAAATTCTGTTAAAGTACTTAATGACTACAACAGTATTTGAAAGCACATGATTTTGTGTTCCACAAACAAAAACAACATTACAACCTCTATCTTCTCATAACACCATTATCAAAATCTCTGCATGTTAACATTTTTATTATGCGTGATATTTCTCAAAGGCTTTCTACATGCCTTTTAAAAATTCAATTGAGGGTAAAATTCAACCCAGGCTCGTTTTTAAAAATTATGACCACGACATGACTTCAAATATAAGATGGAGATGGTGGCAATTAAAGTTTATGCTCAAGTTACCACAAGAAAGGCAGAAGTCATTGATTCCTTGAAGTATTTCTTTTATAGGTAGTAAATGTCCATGGACAACAGTCCCATTCTGTGTTGTTCCACCCGTTTACAGGTGACATTTTGACCTCTAACCAATCACAGCAAGACAATTCAAAATGAAGGTTGACACTTTGTCCTTTAACTAGTTCCAAAGTACTGCAGGGGTTTTACTGTCTGATGTTACACCATATGTGTAAACTCCAGACACAGCAGGCATGTTTAAGTAGGATGCCTCTGTACTTTGCCATTATCCTGTTTCCTGTTGTTCTGGAGCAATCCTAACTTTAGCTAAACATAACCTTTCTGGGTGAATCATTTTTAGTAGAAGAATCCGCCTTATAGCAGAGTGCCCTGCACTTTGACTGTATTTCGGAAGCATGGCCATTGACGGAATTCATAGAACCCAGTGGTTTGGTATTTTGCAGTCTTTATGAAACCCACCCATTTTATGAAAACTTTCATAAAATAAAATTATTTACCACTTTTTCTTATGAATAAAAACTCAAACAATTATGAAATGAACAACAGGAGTAATTCTTTCTGAAGCATTTTTTTGGTCAACTGGTCTATCACTAAATGGTAATGTTTAATGGCAGATTTTTCAAAACCTTTTCCGTAATTCAAGTTATTTTTTAATTCTAAAATGACTACTGTCTTGGGTAATGGGAAGTATTTACTTACTCGGGCCCTCAAAAGGCTCGAATCAGAAAAGCCCTCTTAGGTTTTACATTCAGAATTAGTTTCTGCCAGGATTTGAGGAATGCTAATAATAACCTATATCTTCAGCTCAATGTCAGTAACTCTTACCAAACCAGAGTTCATGAAAAGCATATACTAAGGAAAAAACAGTCCTTTAAAAAGTATACATAACTTCCCCAATGGCCTTTCCCCTTGAGTTTTATGTAAAGTAGAACATTTAGCTCTTTATAATTCCCTCAAATCTATAAATCTCACCAGTCTCAGATTTACTTCCTGTTGCCTTCCTTCATTATACGTTTAAAGGTAATCAATAAAAACTGATTTCTCTTTGTAAGCACTTTCCTGTTCTGCCAGAAATAACAGTAGTCCCTGCCCTAAAACGAAGAAGAAAAGGAAAAGGAATATTTACCAGAAGAGGAGAAAAAGAAACCGCCCCAGTGTTTTTCCTGAGCCAAGTGAAACACAAACAGCAAATCAAGTTTATTCTTAAAGGAGAAAAACCTTAAAAATATTCCTGGCATTAGTCCTATTCTTCAAATCTGTGGTATCAACAAGTTTTTAAATCTGGGTTTGTATTTCCACTCTCTACAAAAACCTCATTATACTGCCTAATAGCTTTACTGTACTGTCTTTCTGTAGGAATCCACACATCACACGCAAGACTTGTGCTCAATGCTGAACAGTGAAGCAGTAGAGGAAGGATAGTAAGTCCCCCAGCTTGCCTCCTAGGGCAGAGTGGGATGCAAGACCAGCGGGAAAAAACAGATGAGAACAAAGTTACATCTGGTAAGGAAATCAAGAACTGCAAACAACGTATCTCTGACTCAGAAATGCAAAACTTTCAGCCACTTGAATTTTTAGCACAAGAATTTTCTGACCCAAAATGTTACTTGAAGGTTTTACATTAAATCATCTGAAATCATCTGTTGGGGTTTCTCCAATATAGACTCTACTCCAGAACTCTCCATTTTTAATGTTTTTTCTTCTCCTGCATTTTTCAGCGAAGACCATGAGAAAACACCCAATGAAAGAGCAACAGACTTTTACTTTGTAATGAAGTTACGAATACATTTTATACGTTTTCCTGGCTTCCTGTTTTCTTGAATTCTGTACTATCTACAGAGGTTGTCCTATTTCACCAAGGCAGACTATAAATCACACGAGTTCAGCCCGTCAGGTTGAAAAATGGAGGTGAAAGGCACAGCAGAAAATACATGAAGTATAATTAAAACCATATGACCAGAGATATTGAAGCAATACTTGTTGGAGGCAACCCAAGTAAAAATCAAATCTTTCCTAGTGTTAGTGAGACTGGCCAGTCCCTTTGAAACAAACACACATCACTTGCTAAATACTTTTTTTTTTTTCTCTCCTTCACAGCAAAAGCACCAGGAGAAGTTCAGCCCTAACAAGGTACTGAAGCCTATCTTTGTGGCATGGTTAAATTCATAGTTGTTCATGTAAAACTGATCTCTCATTTAAAACAGTCATCATTTATTTAGAAATATAGTTTAAGATGGGGCAGGGCTCAATTTTACATCCACCAAAAAGGATAAAAGGCTTATGATGACAATGTTGAATCAAAAACCTTTTCTACTTTTCTATGAAGGGTTCATCTCCTAAGACCTGAGGATTCCAGAAAGACACAGATACTGTAATTGCTTGTTGCTGATCATAAAGAGCCAGCAGCTATAAAATCCAGACCGTCTCCTGGACTACATTATAAACAACCTAGACACTACTGCCTCACAGATGTGGTACTGAGCAGGCCAATGATGTCCATGTTTAAGGATGTACAGAATTAAGAGCTCTTGAAGTTGTAAAGCATCTTTGACTTTGGCCATCTGTCCCCAGAGCCTATGTCCCCTGAGCGTTCCAAGGGTCAATTACCATAATCTCAGTAGATAACTGGAACACAACTTTCAATATTGCTTTGGGGTTCCAGTAAACAATGTAAATTTAGCGAAGTCACTTACCCCCCAGAAACTGAATTCCTCCAGCCACTCTTCCCACTGTCCGGGAGATGAGCTCCGACACACAGCAGCCCATGAGGGCGGTGAGCGCCACAAGCAGGAGGAGGCCACAGCCCAGGCCTGTCACGATGGTAGAAATCCTCCATTCTGTGCTGGGGATGCCCTGGAAGGAGGCGTAGCGCCCACATTCCTCCACCATCACCATCATCTGCCGACTCTCATCGTGCATGGGATACGAGCACCTCCGGAAAGTACCGAAGGACACAGGCTTGCCCAGCTGAGATCCCCAGAGCCAGTAAGGCATGAAGAACCCCACGCAGGAGGTGGCAGCACAAAGAAACGAGAGCAAAGCCCAGATGACCCCGGTGCAAGTCAGACTGGATGCCATCTTTCACCAGACGGGGCAAAGAGGACCCAAAGTAACTGTTCTGGGTCTGCAGGAGGGAGTGAAGGTGTGAAACCACCGGGGACCCACAGGTAATCCACAGTTCTGTGATGGGAGAGTGTCTATTAACAGAACGGATCTTCAGTCCTACTGGGCATCAACTTCCCATCCTGTGCAGTAAGGAAGATGGTCCCTGGTAAAACCATAAGAAATATTAAAAGTTAAATGTTTTTAGAAACGCGATTAACACCGATTCAGTTGGTCTACAACTTTCAATTAATAAACAGTCAAAGATGCCTCCATACTTCAAAAGTGAGAAGAATCCCTTCTCTCTATAAACTTCTCCGTAATTCAAATGTTGTCAGACTGCCTCAAACCTTTTTCATGTCTTTATCTCCTATAAATGTCCTCAAATTAACTCATGCACTTAAAGAAATGCATGACTTCTACTTGCCAAGCCAGTGAATTCATTTCATATACTCACATTAAAAGTAATGTAGCATATTTACCGGCAGTAAACATAATTCCGAATGTTATAATAAAATGAACCATACCGGGGTTTGTTCAGTTGGCTTGCAAGTTCATGCTCATAACTTGTCACAACTTCTCTGTGTCCCTTTAGGTGCATTAACACTCTGCACGAGCCCGAACAAAATAACTAGGATCACAATTACACACTGCCCAGGCATACAGAATGGATGGAACTATTAGACATCCCCAGTCCTCATTCAGTAGCGTTTGTGAATGCCTTCAATCTCAACTAGCTTCTAGTGTCAACGAAAGAAAGCCTGCGTACGGCTTATTTTCATACCTGCAATTTTGATTCACGGCCTCCAATTAAATTATTGGAACCATCTCTACTGCTGAACGAGTGTCACTATCTAATCTGAAAAAGAATCCACACCTGCCAGGACTCTACATCGATCCCCAGTCATTCTAGTGATTCCACGTGCATTCACTTCCATACCTCCCTCCCTCTGAGAGAGTTCCAGAACCACTTCCCACACTCTTCACAGAGAACGCAGAAGCCCAGAGCCACGCACCCCAGTTCCGTCCCCAGGACTCTTTTAACTCCAGCTTAACGTCACCCACCCCCTCCTTTCCCAACCCTCGCGCCTGCCCTTTCCTTCCCACCCACCACCCCATTTCCACCCCAGTGTGTCACTCCAGGGGAGTTCCGGCTACTTGTTTGTTTTTTTAAATCTTGTCAACTGCGGTCAGCATCAGCATTAGCGGCTGAAGTTGGTCTGCTGGGCCCGGAGGCTGGGGAAGACGGGTGGCACGGGGACGTGGGGTGGAGACCGCCCTCACCTCGCGCTGGGGCAAGGCGCCCCGGGGTTAGCCAGCCCCCGGCAAAGGCCTCCCCCACTCCACCCCGAAGACACACAAGGATCCCTCAACCCCCAAAGCGGGAGAGGGGCGTTTTCCAGCCGGCTCCGCGCGGAGGGAGCGGATGAGGATGGGCAGGCAGCACCCCCCGGAGGCAGACGCCAGCAGCGGACGCGGCGGGCAGGGAGAGCCGGCCGGCAGCCCAGCTCAGGAAGTCCGGAGCCCGGGAGCAGCCCAACTCCGGCGTCCGGAGAAAAAAGGAGCGGAGCCCGCGCCCCGGGGCAGCCGCGCGCGGGACTCACATGGCTGGCGGGCGGCGGCCACCTTCTCTGCCGGCGCCGGGGCGCACTCACAACTTGCTGTCTCTCCCGGGCGGAGCATCCACGGCACGCAAGACCGTCCTTCCCTCTTCGCCGCGGTCCCTAACAGCCGCGGAGCCCCCGGGCCCGACGCGGGAGGGAGAGCAGGGGCCGGCAGCAGGCGGAGGGCTCCGGGAGGACGCGCGGCGCCGCCACCCGTGCAGCCCCGCTTCCCGCGGCTCTCTGGCGGCGGCTCGGGCGGAGCGCTGTGGCCGCGCGCGGGGCGCTGTAGCTCGCGGGCGGAGGGGCGGATCTGCCTTTGGCAGGCGAGGCACGCAGCGCCTCCTCCCCGCCGCCGCCGCCCGGCCCTCCTCTCTCTCCTGTCCCCTCCCCTCGCGCCCGCCGGGACTCGGAGCGGACGCGGCGAGGGCGCGGCGCGCCAAGGCCGGGACCCTCCCGGCACGCGGGGCGGGGCGGGGGGCGCGGCCGCCGAGCGCCGGGGTCTCCTCCCACCCCCTGGGCGGCTGTCTGGGCTCCTCCAGCCCCGAGTCCTCTCCCGCCTTCGTGGCCCCGCGACTCCTTCCAACGCGAGAGTGGCGGAGGCAGAGACCGAGAAGTATGGGCGAAAGTTGCTCGTCCTCTCGGGTGCTCGCCAGGGGCTTGGAAGATGAAACACGCTCCCTGCTTGTTTTTCGGGGGTCTGGTATTTGGGGTTTAAGCTCCGGTCTCCGACCGCCTTTAGGAGACGGAGATGGAAAGGAACGCCTCAGAGACTGGGCGCGGTGACCCTTTTGAGCTTTCAGGAGCTCTTGGCACGTGGTCACTTTGTAAGGGGGTGAACAGGGCCAGTGTGGGCGTGGGAATGAGAGGCGAGAGCAGAGAACCCGAGGCTCAGGGATTCCGTCAGGCAGCCGCCTTCCCAGCCAAGCCAGGGAGAAAGCAGGGGGAGATGACAGCGAGCCTCCCCCAAGAAACATCCTATTCAGGAACCTCTCTCGAAGCATTTCTCCCTGTCTGTCCCCCTCTCTCCTCCTCTTTCTCTCTCTGTCTCTGCCTCTCTCGCTCTCCCCCTCTCCTCTCTCTTCCCCTCCCCCCTTTCTCTTCCATCCCTCCGTCCAATCAATTTTGCAATCAATACCGCCATTGAATTTCTTTACTGAGAAACACGGATTCTGATTTCCCCTCTGGACTTAAGGGTTTTTTTTCTTTTCTTTTCTTGTCATTAGCGCTAACTTCTCTGGAAATTTAGAGCTACATTCAGTAGACTGTAGGTCTCTGCTGAAGACGGTATTTTAAGAATTCTGCCATCTGGGAATAGCAGTTTGTGAAGTAGCTACTTCCTCAGTACAGTTTGTGCTTTTTCAAAGCAGTTGAAAGTTAATAACTGGGTAGGTATATATTTCATAGTAAATTTTCAAATTGTACCCTTTTAATTAGCTATGGTAGAGTACTTTTTTTTATTATAGCTGGAGATGTGCGTTCTTTCATTATTATTTTGAAAGGCTTTGTGTAATTAGTTCCAACCCTTTATGAGGTCATAGACCTTTTTAAGAATATGGTGAAACGGATAAGCCTCCCAGAAAAAGAAAAAAATGCACAGTAGTATCAAGTTTTCTCACAGTGGTTCTCAAGGGAGAGTATGACCCCTCCCAGGGGATATTAGGCAAGGTCTGGAGATATTTTTGATTATCGTGAACTAGAATCTGGTGGGCAGAGGTCAGGGGTGCTGCTAAACACCCTACAAGGCACAGGACAGACCCCCGGAATTATCCAGCCCCAAATATCAGTAGTTCTGAGGTTGAGAAAACCTGTTTCAATAAAATGTCCGATGGTTCCCTGTTCCCCTGCATCCCTTCCGTGATCAGAATCCCTGATCAAATGCTCTGATTTAAGTTATTTTTATTTGTCTTGTACAAGTCACTGGTTAATGAGTTCAGTGACTGTGTTAATAATGATTGGCCTGACTTTCTGTTATGTATCATGACCTAGTTATTACACAGAGCCTTCAGATCTGTATCATGTATAGGTAGAAGGTATGACTCCATAAAGACAGAATAATGAGAATGAGATTGGGACTCACCCTCCACACACCCACTGTGGATATTGGTCTAGGACACTTTCTCAATCTGGAGTTTGAAGCACCGAGATGGCTGGCTGAGATTTAAGTCCTGGCTGTGTCTCAGTCCCTACACTAAGTCTTCTTAATAGACTATTTTATCTAGTCCTCAAAATAAAAGCGGAAAAATATGAAGGAGGTACAATTATTACTTTACAGAGAGGTTAAGTCATTTGGCTGAGACCTTACAGCTAAAGGTGGACTTCAAAAAATATCTCATTATCTGCATTCTATTAAACAGAGTAAATGCTATTGAGATTCTGCCTAAGATGAAGACGAAGACAGAGGAGGAGGCTGGTTGTTTTCTTTTTTAATCTGTCGGGAAGCAGTATCAATTACTCATGAAAGCATAGTGTATTACATACTAGGACTCAAATTTCTGACTTAGAGGAGTGAATTTGGACAAGCGGTGCCCTTTCTGGGCCTAAGTTCTCTCATTTGTAAAAAGAGGTTGGAAATAGATGATTCTACCTCATGACTTCTAGCATCATGATTATATAGATACTGTTATATTTGAGAAGAAGTTTAGGGTCATCTAATTTTGTTCAAGTATATAATTTTACAGATGAGGAAGCAGAGGCTCAAAATCCTTCCAGTGTCTTACCCAGAGCTGAGCCTCGAATCCATGTACCCTGATCTCTCATTTCATTCCACCGTGCAATTATCTTCCCAAACTACCGAGCCATCTGTGTTACTCCTTGAGTTCTTGTTTGCATACTTCATAGGCAAAATGCATTATACTATTTTTTAAAACGCTTGCATTAAATTTGCACCTTCAAAAGGATCTTTAAATTACTTCCCAGCCAGAAGTTCTCACATAGCAAATGCTGCTTATACCTCTTATTCCAGGTTTGAGTTTCTAGCATGTTTGGATGGTAGTCCCATTAAGTCATAAGATGAGATCATGAATGTAAAAACATGTGGAAAGCTATAAAGCATCTATGACAATACTCTTGGTTAGCTACCAAATATTAATTCCCAATCCCTCTTTCTTATTCACTAGATACTTTGGTGGCCACATGACCCTATTCTAGACAATGAATCAGCTGAGGAGTCCTCTAGGGAAGACTGTATTCTCTGATTAAAGAAGGAAGCATGAGAGAACAGTTCTCTCAGCATCTTGGCCGCCTTTTGGACACATTATTGAAAAATAAAATGCTTAGAGTTGTGGCAGCCTTTTTGTAAATACGAGGAAAATCACAGAAAAAAATCCTAGCACCCTAAGATTGTGGAGCTACTCACCTTTTGAATTTTTTAGAAGTAAATTATAGACTGTAAGTAGATTTAAGTCATTGTTATTTTAAAATTTCTACTTTTTAGTATCTGAAAGCATTTCTAATTGATAAAGCACTGTACAGATAAGACATTTGCTCAATGATTAAAAAAACACACATTAGTCAACGCTGTACACCAGTGCTTGGCAATAGAAGATAGATACTCAATAATTTG